GAAGGTGGGCTGTGTCTTTATTGATATTGAATCTTTCTCTGGACACCCTTCATTCTCATTAAACTTAAGAAGTTGCTGGGAAGGAGCAGGTGAGCTGCAATGCCATCCACAGGAAACCACTTCCACTTCTCCCATACCTCCAGCCTTGGAAGTATTGTCTCAAGCCAAGTAAAGAGAAAGAGATGCTCATGGCTCCCTTCACAGCCCTCAAGCGCAGCAAATTATAATCCCAGCTTCTCCTCCATGAGATGGCTGTCCACCTGTGCTTCAAGGCTCATGGTCATGGATTTAGTCCGCAGTAAGGCTGCAGCCATACAATATCCCTGGATGTCTGTACAAACTGGAGACCCCTGTTGGGCCTCTGTTTTTCTTATTCATGTTTTCTTCATCGGGTGCAGCTTGTAGGTTGCAGTTTGACCTTTTACAGAGAAGCCAAACCAATGCTACTCATGCCATTGAGGTCATCTTTGATACAGTTTGGGAATCTCGGCTTATCTTGATGACAGTGAGGTACTTCCTTAGTGAAGAGACCAACCACAGACTTGCAATGGCCATGCCTGTATTGGGGCATGCAAATCATAGGGTGGCCTTGCATCTATGCAGCTTTCTTTGGGACCATACTGATTCCCAACATGCAGGTCGCCACTTGTTGCAAGCTATTTCCTAAGGAAAAAACACAAAGAACTTGAGGAAGAGCTTTAGTCATTCCTCCTTTGTCAAAGTGGAACTTCTAGTTTCCATGAATTGCACTTTTAACCCTTAATATCTGATTGTTTCTGGTGACCTCCACACCTGTGCCAGTTGGCCCTGTGAATGTTAAGCTCTTGAAACCAGCTTCTTCCTCCAGCTTGAGTGGCGAGAGGTAGGAAAGCTCTCTGCTGGGAGAATTTGGCTCTGCTTCTGGGCCTTGGGGTTTTGTATACTCAAAGAAGAGACAGGCTGTAAGCTCCAGCATTTCTGACTGGCTTTTTAAGGCTAAAGATACACAGACTACACCCTGAGTCTTGCAGATGATGGGAGAAGATTTGCAGTATCATAACAGGGAGGTTTGAGTAGACATTCCAGGTCAAGAGTAGACATGCCCAGGCCAAGGTAGGAGCCTCTAGATTTAACCCATTTGGGAGCAGAGCAGTGGTGGAATCACATCCCAGTGGCAGTAACCGGTGCTTTATGAGGTGTCAGAAATGTCCATCATAGCTGAAGGGCATTGAAAAGCAACTCTTTGGTCTTTTCCTGGAAATTAAAAGTAAAGAGCATGCCACATGATGAGAACATCTGTAGCAGGGAGCAGGCTGGCTCACATGAATTAGCATCTTCCTGGCTGTTACCTATAGCAGCCGTAGCCAGCTACTTATTCCATCACCTGCAGCTTCTGTGGGCTGAGACCTCAGACTTACACCTTGAGAAGTACAGGGCCCCCAGCACTGAGCCATGGTCAAATAAGAGCTGAAGAAGGCCTCCTTCACAGTTTTCTCACTGAAGTGTGGGATGGTCATTTGATGGAATGGGACCTTGGGCCTTGCACTGTGGAGCACAGTGACCTTGAACTGCTCAGATCCTGATCTCCAAAGAGCACCCCTGAAAGTTACCAGAAACCTGGGCTTAATGGAGATGTGTCACAGCCTCAGTGATTTGCATCTCAATCTTCCTGGCAGTCTCATTGCGGCCAAGGATAATTTGGCCAAGCACTTCCACAAGCAGTGGGATCATGCTGGATATCTATGAAACCAGTGCCAGTATGTGGGGTCAGAGCATCTACACAAATGAAAGCCTCCTGCAGCCTTGGAGACTTGTTATGGGAAGGGTAAGGGAGATAAATTGCTAAGTTTCCCTTGGAGAAATGTTCATGAGGATCCCCTTTCAGGCATTTCTTTTCCTAGAGGACCAGGTGACATGCAGGGAGATTGTATTCTTTGCTAGGGTATCTACCATTTTCAAAAAAATAGACAAACTCTCCAAATTGTTCAGGCATGCTACTCATTCTTGTTAAGGTCCTGTAAATCATAATAAGTGCAGAAGCTCTCCCCATTTGGAGATCTCCCAGCCTATTGCAAATGGGTGAACTGCAGGGATCTGTGCAAGTGTTTTCCTGCCACCTCACCCCCACCCATCCTGCTGATGGGACCTGGAATGACCTACTGAGCTGCTGGTGAGCAGCAAGACCAGTTCTACTCTGTCTCACTCACCCCTCCTGCTCCCCCTTTATGCAGGCTCTGAAGGGTGCCTACCAGCTCAAGCTCCTGTCACAGAAAAATCCAAATGGAGGACGACTATTACACCAAGAAAAGTGGCTATGGCCCCATTTGAAGGGATCTGCAGAGAGGGTGATGGAGATCAGAGTAGAGAAGGGGCTGCCATCTGGGAGGGACTGGGGCAAGACGGCAGCAAGAGGAGTCACTTTGGTCACAGGCATCCCCTGGCTCTGGCGTGCAGGGCCCTGGCTCCATCCAGCTTCTTGTGAGCAGAAAAGCCACAGACTCATGGCTGGCTCCCTCGCCTCATTGTCTGTGCACTGGAGCAGAGAGGGCAGAAGGCAAAGGGACCAGGGGAGCCTTTCTGCCCCCCCTGGCTCTGACAAGTTCATGACTGCCACAGATCGGGATGGGGGGTGGGTGGGAGACAGGACATGGGGACCACCAAAACAAATGAACTAAAAAAACAGTCTGATGATTCTCCACATGCTTGGTGTACATGATGCAAATTGATGTTTAAAGCTTATTTATTATCTTACATGCAAAATGCCAGTGGTGTTTTTCTAGATCAGTGGGTATCCGATATTTGGTCGGCGGGGAGACAACGGCAGTGGGAGCGAGCATGTCTAGAGACTGTATATCCAGAGGCTAGGGTTTATATCATGGGCTGCTCTCGACTGTTATAATTTGTGGCACAGATTCAGCGAGAATCTGATCTGCTGAAAATATTTGGGCTGTGAAAACTCCCACACTGTGACAGATGTCAAGTCCAATTAAGTGACTCGTGTCCAGGTTTCTGTCCAATAGGCTTTCCCATTAAATACCAATTTAAGAGGGAAAAAATGCCGCCCCCTTTTCTCCGAGCCTTTATCTCTTCCGACCATCTCTAGGCGAAACCCTTTGGTACCAGAAGTGGATCCGCACGCATCTCCGCTCTGTCTGTCTATCTGTCTCGCCGTTGCCACCTTCCGCACCCCTCCTTGGCTTCTTTGCCACTCCAGGAGGGGTGGGAGGAGGAACTGCACTTTCTTTTTGTGCATGTGAGCGTACCTTTTCCTGCACCGCCGTTATCTCTCGCAGCGGCTCCGAACCCGCGCCGTGATTTTCGTTTATTTTGTTTTGCTTTTCTTTTTCAGCGTTCGCATATTTTCCTTTATCCTTACTCGAAAGATGCAGGAGGAGTTAGGAAGCTCAGGGACGAATGGGGGTTTCGTTTATTCTTTTTTTTCCTCCCCTCGCCAGTTCTTGAAGGACTAGAAGAAAAACTAAACCAAACATTCATTTTCCGACGGCGTCTCTCCCCTCCGCCTGCCCCTCTCCGCCGGACCGGTGAATTAACAAAACCGCAGGTTAAACCCCCATCAAAAAAAAAAAAAAAAAAAAAAAGAGAGAATAGAGAAGAAAGGAGGGAGCGACGCATTGTTACCCTGACCCGCGGCGTGCCTGCGCGGCGGAACAAAGCGGCAGCGCCGCGCCGGGCTCCGCGCCCCGGGCTCCGCGTCCGGCCCGGCCCGGCAGCGGCGCGGCCGCCGCTGGCAACGAGAGGCCGAGGGGGCGGGAGACAGGGAATAATCCCGGACGGCACCGGTGCTGTCGCAGCATCCCTTTTGTTATTTATCGCGACCGGGGAAGAGGAGGAAGAAAAGCGGGGGAGACGGCACTTTTCCCCCTGTAAAACCGACTGGACGCAGCCGCCGGGGCGCTGCATCCCGCTGCCCCGAATAAACGGGCGGAGGAGGACTTTGATGGGGGAAACGCTTTTTCCTCCCCTGATGCATCGTAAGTAACTTAAGTTGTTATTCATACTCCGCAAACAAACACGGCGATAACATCTCCTATCTCTGGAGCGCTGGAGGCCGCGGCGAGGGATGAGATCTGCCTTTATCCATCCGAGCAGGACACTTTTCCGCTCGTAATTAATTTGATTTGATTTTGATTTTTTAATTTTTCCATGCTCCGCTCCTGGAGGGTCATTTGAACTGTAAAGGAATCGCCGAGGGGGCGAGGGGACCTGGAGAGAGAGGCTGTCCAAACGACTCCACCGAGGTAAGCAGCCTTAATAATATCTCCCTTTTGCAGTTAGCACGGGAGATGGATTTACTGTAATAACAAAAAAAAAAAAAAAAAAAAGGGGGAAAAAAAGTCTCTTTCCGGATCAGCTCGCTAAAACCCACCATAAGGATAAAAACCCAAACCAAAGGGAAAAATTCAACTCACACCGCAGAGAAACCTCTAAGCAACTTTCTTCAGGAAGCACCTCTTTAATTGCCCGTTTTCGTACAACTGCGCTGCAAATCCCTCTCTAGTGTGCTTTCACATGAGGCCCCTCGCTTGAATCCCAGCTGAAAGGTGATTTTAAACCTTTCTTATGCATCTTTTTGCCCCACGAGATCGCTGATACCTGACCTGCGCGCTAGCCGGGATTTTTCCCTACCCCTGCCTTGTGGGCCTGATTAACGCTCCTTATTAAAAATCGAAGAGGAAGCATTTCCGACGGCCCTGGCAAGAGGTGGCCCTTTCCAAGGGAGGGAAGAGCTCTCCTCTCGCCCTCCCCAGTCCTGGCCCCCTGCGCACCCCGGAGAGTGCCGAGCCCCGGCCCCCGTTGGAGCCCCGCTGGCCCGCCACGCGTGCCCCGCTTCTCGTCCCGTGGGGGGAGGCTTGGCTCTAGCCCTGCCTGGGAAGAATTCCTCCTGCCCGTATTATTATTATTATTATTATTATTATTATTATTATTATTATTATTA